TCCCGCCGCTGCCTCGCCGTGCCCAAGAGGGTTAAGCCAAAGCACGCAAATCCTCCGAGCCTTGGCCACCCCGGAGCGAGAGCCTTGGCAGGGACAGCGATTCTCGGCTGCAGCAGTTCCAGCCTCGGTGGGACACGGCTGGCACCGTAGCACAAGATGCAAGGCAGCAGAGAGGTAGAAAAGCATCGGGCTTTTCTCAGGAGTCGGTGGCCCTGATCCTCATTAGGTCGTTAATTAAATATGCAAAGGAGCCTTTGAGGGCTGCGTTGAGAATGGGGATGTTCAAGGGAGGGCGCAGGTTCCAGATGGGCCCTTCTCACAGGTGGGCATTGATCGCCCTGTCCTGCACCCAGCAGATGAGACTCGTGGTGTTGTGTTGTCCTGATAGGAGACACCCTGATGCAAGCACAGAGCTGGGGAAAGCCCATGTACATCAGCTTGGTCGGGTGGAAGGTGTTCCTGTGGCAGGGAGCTGGAGCTGGACTGATCTTTAAGACCCTCTCCAACCCAAACCGTTCTGGGATTCTATGAAAAGGACGAAAAGAAGGATCAGGAAAATCCCAAGTTTGTGCTGGCACTCGGCGCCCATCCTCCCCCACGTGCACTGCCTCCGCGGGGTCCAGCTTGCAGATTCATCTTCCCTGGGAGATTAGCGACTAATCTCCCCTTCATCCGCCGTCTTTCTTATCAGTATCGGGAGCCAGACTGGAAATTACTGCGTCCTGCTGGTCGCGGGGTCCAGCCCTGGTGAGTGCCGGGAGGGTCTTTGCAGGGGGCTCCCACAAGGAGGGGGCGAGAGAGCGCGGACCACGTTCAATAGAGAAGCGCAGACCAGGCAGGAGAAAGGGGATGTTTTCCATCCCTTGCTGACCGTCCCGCTCCTCAGAGCAGACAGGGAGCATCATCCCGAGGGCAAGAGCAGGGAAATCCGCTGGGAAACCCCTCCTGCTCCTTTCCCCAGGCATTGGGGCACCTGCTCCTTCCGATTAAATCGTCTCAAGGTAATTGTGCCTGTCATTGAGACAGATTAACGGGTGACCTTCTGCCGCTGGAGCAGGATTGGCGGCCGCCGCCGAGCTCCCCGTCCTTCTTTCCCTCCCACCGGCCGCGGTGGCACGGC